GGACATCCCTGAAAATTCAGAATGGGGATTCGTGCCCAACCACCTTTCATGATTAGAGTTAGGCCCAGTTATAGATATATTTCATTGTTTGCTTCAATTTGAGTCACTGGAAAACTGTAAAATGTATCCTAAGTCTACCCCACCTTTGAGGTTCCCCAAAGCAACATCGGCCCACGCAACCGCATGGATCACCAATCGCGCCTCGCCGGGCCGGCGAGCGGCGGCCGCGAGGAGCGCAAGCTGAGCCCGAAAAACGGGAGAGCCACGCAAGGAAGGCCGCCGGGCGCTGTCTGTTTTGAGCGTACCTGATCCCTCCAAATTCCCTAAAAATGGGTTCTAGCCGCCGCAAAATTTATGGGGTGAAATTCGTTTTTTTTTTTGGGGGGGGGGGTTGCTAAAGGGGTAGTTTGAGGGTCCAGGTACCCTTTGCCTGGCTGTTTTCAAGGGAAGCCAGGCTCCTGGGACCCCCCCTTGGTTGTGATTGAAACTTCGCTCGCCGCCCTGTGGTTTGCCCATCTGATACGTCAATATGGTGAAACCTGACCAAACCACGCTGAGAAGGGTACCCTCAAGCAACACACCAATGCCCGGTCGGCCGCTGGCGAAAAACAAACCAACATGCCATCAAAAAACCACTTCGCCCTTTTGTTCGGGCGGAAGGGTCCATCACGAACTGTGATCTGCACTGACCTGACGATCGAAGCCCCTCCCCCACAAACATGGTTTGGGCCACAGAACCATTTCGGAAGACTGTGATCTTCTTGAAACCACGCCGAATGCACCAGCGGTTGAGGGTGGCAATCGGCCCTTGGGGCACGGTAAAGGTCATTCGAACCAACAGAAGCTTGCTCCTATACCAGCCCCCACACCCACCATCACCCCCCCCCCCAAAGAAACAAAGACAACACACACACACACACATGCCACCCCCAAACACACCTCAAGCTTCGGTCTATTTCAAAGCCTTGCAAGGGGGCCGGTGTGCTTTGAAAGTTCCCGCCCCACCTTCGGCATCTAACCCAAGATGCAAACCTCAGGCACAGCGATGGGACTGTGCTGGGCAGTGCGAGGGAAACAAACACACAAAACAAACACCCTACCAGCAGCATCTTGAGGTTTTCCAACTAAACCTAAGCCTGTTCTCCAATTGAAATCATTGCAAAGGATGAGAGCTGCCTACCACCAGCATCCTGAGGTTTTCCAAGAGCCGTATTGGGGGATTGAGCGGCCTTCACGGTCTGGGGCCCTGGGGCCCTGATTCCAAGTCGCATATCTCCCGTCCCTGGCCAAGTCTTCTCCCCTCACTGATGTCTCAGGATGTGGGGCTCTGAGCCCCGAAACCGCCTGCGAGCGTCGTTCAGGAGATTCCTTTTACAACGGCTGCTTATTTTTTCCCTCCTTCGATTGGGTTCGGTGGCTCACGGAAGGATCCCAGAAAAATGTGGAAGGTACCTCTGCTTGCGTGTTCAAGCCTCTTAAGTCAAATCCCAGGGCCGCTGCACGCCAAAAGGATCCCACTCCGGCCGGAAATGGCTTCGAAATCGCTTCAACCCGCAGAGCGGTGGTTCTTCGTTGGTTGGAGTCGCGATCGCTTTTTTCAGTCCCTGTTGCTGGTTTTGGGGGTAAAGTGAATGGAAAAAACAGCAACCCCACAAAACTGAAAACGGAAGCCTCGTTTTATACCACCCACCTAATTTGGCTCATGGGTTGCTCGGGAAAGTGTTTCGGAGAAATGAGAAACAAAGATTCACTGGGCTTAGGTAAAATGGGGATCTACTTTCACTCTGTACATCATGAGAAACCATCATCTGCCAGCCTCCCCGAACACTGACGTGTGCCTTCAGGATTGCTCCGATCACATGAAGTCATGCAATGTGATCTAGGGCCAAATGCAGCAGACGCAAACCGTTGTGCATGGGAAGCATAAAACCTGAACCACTACGTTTGCTTACGGTGGAGCATGTTTGCGTCCAAGTTTGCTTCAGTACGTGGGAAGCGCCGAATTGACTTTGATGGACAAGTTTAACACAGCCCATCCCCTTTTGGTTTCCCTTTGGCAGGAAAAACAACACATATATACACCATTTTGGGGGTTATTCAGCAAATCAAGTTGGTGAACAAAGGGGTCAGAAACTGCCAATGAATGTCAAGATAAGCTCACGGCCACGGGCCACGCCATGCAAAGCACATCGCTTGCAAATCGCGCACCCATCAAACGCACCATGTTTTTTTCCTTTCAGGTCCTGTTCGGGAGGCGCATCAGAACTCTCTCAATGTTCAACCTATGTTTCCCGGTGCTTCCAGGTAAGCCAGAGTAGGAAACCAGGGCAAACCACGATATGAAACTAGTAGAAATCCCGGGTGAATTAAACATAAGTGAAACCACTGGGTCTCTTCCTCACAGTTGCTCAGTAAATGGAAAAACCTTTTCGGGGACTGGAACCCATGGACCGGACGACTTTGGCCCGGGGCCGTTTAACAGCCCCGCTGACTGTGCCGATCCAATTTCATCTGCGCCGGCCGGACGTAGCTCGTTGCAAACAATGGTGCCGCCTTGCAGCCCCGTCCCGGTTTCCCCTTAAGGTACTTGCATGGTCGAGGACTTAGGTTACAACCTCCCAACTCATCAAAGCGCTGATTACCCAGTTGAAAAGGGATTGAAGCTAAGGTCCTTGTCTTTCAGAGAAGACCATGCCATGCAGTGTTGAAAATTGCTCTTGTTTGCGCAAATGATTTGCGAGAACCTGAAACAAACATACCTGTCTAACCTCGACGCAGAGCTCGATCCAGGGCGCACTCGATCCGCGGCTGGCTCACAATGCCTCGGGAGAGAGTCACAGGGAGTCCTTCAAAGATCCGATTTGACCCAGAGAAAGGCTGAAAAGGGTGGGTCTACCAAAGCGCAAAAGTATATAGCAAAAGCCGGCAGCCGCCTTTCGTTGGCACACTCACAAGAGTCATCTGCAGTCCGCCAGAAACGAGGTGGTGGGGGGATTGCCTCTAAACCGGGCCGTCTGGGAGGTCATGGGCGCAAATCCCATCAGAACTCTCATTTGTGTTCAAAAATGCCTAGCAAACCGTTCAGCAAATATTTTTCATGCCAGGCATACAGGCGCCGTTTTTTGGAAGACACTTCAGCATCCGGCGTTGGATCTGGAAGCTCTGGTCAATGCGCCCTCCTGCGAGAAGGTGGAAGGTGCACCGATGCACAAGTCACAAGAGTTGGGGTGGCTACTGCGAAGTGGATCAAGATTTGCTGCTGAGAAGGGTGCCCCGTTTGTTTGTTCGGTGTTTCGGAAAACAACTGCCGCAAATCACAGCAAGTTCAATCATCAGCAACACTGTCGACACCTTCCCTTGAGGGTTGCCCTCTGCCTCCAAACGAGAACTAAGGCCGCCTGTGGCTGGTAGAAAACAACAACACGCCCAAAAACATGTGAGTTTCCCCGTCAATTGCAGATTCCACCCCAAGTTGGTGCATTTGACAAGGGGCACCCAAGATCCTACGGAGCGAGCCGACCACCCCAGCGGAATCCGCCCCACTTTTTCGGTTCCGGAAGCCGACGGCCCTGGCCGGACCTGGGAGCGACCGTGCGAGCTGGGCGGCTGAGAGAGCAACCTCAAACACGGATGCCTCCGTGTCCCTTAAAACTTCTTTATTTAGTGGGTGAAGAAGCGGGTCCTGTGGCCCAGAATTTTATTCATACGGGCCCAACTAGAAAACTTAGGTTGACATTCGCAGTTTCATGAAACCACCAGTTCATCGACTTTTGAAGGGGACGTCCACAAGCTGCTTTTTTCTTTTTCGGGAGCAAACGGGTGTTTGCCAGGAGAGTGTCAACTTTTCCCAAAGGCGCAAAATCCAAATGCTACTGGTAAGCGCCAAGGGAAAAACAAAAACCGCCCTCAGCCCAAACTCTAACAAATGAAGCCTCGGACATGGGGCGGTGCGGGTAGCCACTCTTTGCCATTCAACTACTTGTTTGGTTCACATGGTTGAGGTCATGGGCCCCAGACTCCTTTAATGGGATAGGTTGAGATTCCACCGGTTGGGGGAGGGTTCTGAGATGGTTTTCAGGGGAAACCAAAAGGAACCCAATCGTCCTGGGAGATCCACGCGTGTCTCAGCCCGTGAAAGTGATGCGGTTGAAAGGGCTGGGTTGCTCCCTCAGCGCGCTGAATCGAAGGGGCAAAAAAAGCGTCGTCACCTTTTGAAGGTTTCATGGACAAAGCCATTTGTTTCGAAAAGGTCTTTAAAAGAGATGGGGGGGTTGCTACGCTTAATGGAGGGGTTGGAAAAGGGAGGGGGGGTCGAAAAAAATAATTGGGGGACGACCAGCAGCTCATTCCGTGGTGAGTGCGGAGTTTAACCCCCCAAGACAGGGCGAGAAAGGGCATTTCCCTTAGCATCGCCCAAGGCGACTCACTTGAAATTGGCAACCCAAACAGCACACTGAAACGGGGGAATTGCTGTAAGGAACCCGAATCAAATCAAAGGACCCGGGACCCGAGCGAGCTCAAAGGATGACAGGGTCTGGGAAACAACATTTGGAGCCCTCGAGAAAAAAAAGAAAGAAACAAAAACGGGCTTCTACTTGGCGTCCCTTCTAGTCCAGAGAGGGAAGTCCATTCTGAGCAACCCCCATGTACCTCCCAAAACCTGGAAGGATCCCAAAACTGGTCGGCTTCCGAATGTGAACTCCCTTTCGGCGCAGGACAATAACATGTTGTTGCAACTTGCGCCCCTTTGGGTCCTCAAAGCACCAGCGAAAACGGTGCTCTTCACTGTGGAGAAAAAAATAGAGAACGTATTCTTCCATTTGCATAAGCCCCCTAGGAAAAAAAGAGTGATAGATTTCCTGCAAATACCAACAGGGAAAAATAAAGAAATTCTTAAGCAAATGGATGTATTTCCTCTCAATGTGAGGCCAACATGAAGAACCTTGTGAATGGGGATTCGGCCAACGAAAGCCACACCCTCGCCCACATCACGCCGGCCTTCAGGTGGGCACTTCCATGTAATTGCTGGTGATGCTCACTCCCAGCCCGAAGTCGCTCTGGCAACGCTCGCGTTCGCACTAGAAATGCTTGACATCTCGAACGTGGGCGATTCTCCCCTCGAAGGGGCCCTAGAACTGTTGTGGCAATCTTCTCAAGCTTTAAAGTTATAGTTTGAGGCAGAAAATGACCCCCACCCCACCTCGAATGTTACCAGCCTCTGGGCAAGGGGCAAAAAAGACTCCTAATTTTGACATCCCACAGTGCAAAACCATCAAACTGCTCAACCCCGGTCCCTTTTGGGCGCCCCAAAACACAAGTGGCCTGTGGTCGTGTTGCGCAAGCCGAGGACCTTAATGGGGTCTTCCAGTCTTCCCCGAACAAAATCCGAGCTTTCCGAGGTGAGCAATGAACAATCCGATTCTGACCAAAAAGTGTGAGGGCTCGTTTCGGATCCAAACACCTGTTAAAGCCGAGATTGCTAAGCCGAGCTTGCAAATCCAATCTCGGCATTCCAAGAGCCAAAGCAGTATGTTGACGGCCTGTTCCAAGAAGCCTTCCAAGACTTTGGGGAGTCAATACGGAAAAACCTGGCAACAAAATAGGCAGGGGCTTGGAATCTGTCCCCCTCAAGCAATCTTAAAGTTAGTCTTCATTATAGTGCTGCCGGACGCGCTCACGGCAACCACCCGATCGTTCAACGTTTTGTTTGCAAATGGTTCAGCCCCAAAAGTGACTCAAGTCCAGCAGTGACTCAAGTCCAGCAGCTCGTGTGTGAGCGTGTGTCGGACTACTCTGGCCCGTGACCACAGAAAGTGTAAACTGCAGGAACTCAGGAGGCGAGTTGTCACTTTGGTGAATGGTCAAACGCATGGCCCCTTGTATTATTTGGAACCTTCCGTCTTGTGCCGCCTCAGGCCCTACTTCTTGACACGCTTCCAAATGTGCCATGGTCAAAGTACCGCTTCGTTCTTACGCGACCTTTGGAAAATAGAAAACCGATCTAAACCACCAAAATGCATCGATTTCTCTTCAAACAAACCGATCAAAAGGACAGCTATGGCTTCGCTTGTCACCACCGGTCAGAAACACGTAAAGTCTGAATTCTCCTGTCACTGCCAACAAATGTTACGGTCTCCGCCCTGGCTTCCTTTGGTGGGTCAAAACCAATGGGATCCCATGTTGGGATTGGTGAATTCACCGCCTATTTTAGAACCTATTTTAGTGGTTGGAGTGGGATGTTCACTGGGGGCTAACCGATTTGGATTTTGACCCCCGGCCATTTCTTGTTTCTGCGTCATGGACGTCGCGTCCCTCCGCGGAAGCTCAGCGCGGGAGGTCCCGGGGGCCCACCGCCCCCGAAGCGAAGCGAAGCTCCGCGCCATCTGGGAGCAATCCTTGAGCTTCTCGGGCGCAGGGAGACGAGACCTGACGAGCGTGGCCCATACAACTCACTCGGAGCCCGTGTGGCCCGAGGCGAAGGACACCCTTAAGGGACGCTTAAGGAACCCTAAGGGAACTTGGAAACCCAGGAAAGCTTACGGGAAACCTATGGGGAACTCAAGGGAAAACTTACGGGAAACCAAGGAGAACCCAAGGGACACCTTTTTTTCCACCTTCATAGTACCTTTCATGGGCCTGAGCAAAACACCCTTCCTCCCAACAAAAGGCACGTGAAGAGTGCCTGGAAGATCAACTTCCTCAAGCAGAGGCCATTTCCCTTTCTAGGCTGTTCAAAAAAGTTGGCCAAGCCCAACTCATCTGGAAGAAGGTATCATTACAAGCGGCCCAAAGCCTGTAGGATTGAGGATTGCTCCAGTAACACCGCAGTCCGTGATCCCGCTTAGTTTGGCCGTTCTACACCAAAGAAACTCCTAGAACACCTCAGAAGAAACAGCCGCAGGAATTAACACTTTGTGTGGTGCTGTTGAGTCAATTTCCATCCACTGTGACTTGAAGTCACTTATGGGATTCGCCAAGGGTATCACAGAAAACGTCCCATACCCATGAAAATCCAAGCTTCCAGAACCCAACAATGTCCACCCTTCCAACATCTTGTATGCGTGACTTGAGCGAAAAGGTATTACCATGGCCCTCCTCCAACATGACTCTGACTGAACATGCCTAGCTTTCCGGGGCTCCGAAGCGTCCGAAAGTGCCGACCGTTCGCTTAAAAGTCTTACCAACAGTGAGCACGCCATTTGGCACAGTGGGCAAGCTTAAAGAAAGCAAACAAATAGAGCGGATAGTTTTTACTCCTATCATGACTAAATGCAACCAAACAATCTAATGTTTTGCCAGGCAGGTTGATATATTAGGTTCCGTTGCTTGACCCCAAGAAAAGAGACAACAGGGGCTTTGGGGAAACCAATTGGGTTGTTTGGTCCTGTGTCTTTTCTGAGGGTCGCCTCGTATGGCGCCGAACCAACAGTTGAACACTTCTCTTGCGCCATGTTAAGGGGTTCCAACAAGCAAAAGACGCACCCCGGAGCAATGGACCCCCCGGTGCACCATCCGAAGTCCGCGCCTCGCCATGGCTTCCCGCGCCGTGGCGGCGCTCCCGTAGAGCGCCGCGAAGAGGTCCACGCCTATCAGGCGAGACGTTTCGAGAGAAAGAAAAAACAAAAAACAAAAAACGCGGTTTTCACACGCAACCCGAGAGGGAAACGGGTGCGTTCCCAAAGAAATGGCAGGTATTTACCAAGATGGTGAATGATATCAGCTAATATGCATATGTATATATATATATTATAATGTATGCATGTTGAATTATACCCTGTTTACCAATGTTGTCAGTGATATTGATAAATGTTTACATTATATCCTAACACAGTAGATGATAGAATGCACAATGCACATTCACAATCCAAATGGGCCAAATGTTGGTATATCTCACCATGGGTTGTTTGGGATTCTGGCATAAAACATGGCACCGCCTGGGAGAACGAAACACGCCACCCGGGGAACAAAACCAAGGACCTGCAAAGCCCAAGCCAACGAATGCGGGGGCTTAGGATCCTACAACCTCAGGTAGCAAATGTCTGGTATCGGGACCACTTGCTGGCCTCTAACTCTGAACATTTAGAGGAAATTGCGGCTATGCAAATAATTCGAGCTCCAACAACTCCAACAACTCCAACAACTCCAACAACTCCAACATGAACGACCAGCCAACTCGACCATGACACGCAGGATCCGAAATTCAATGCAGCCACAAGCTGATGTATATGTACTATATGAACTAACAAATGACAAATAGGGGGCATTAGTTTCTTGACCTAAATTCATATTTTGGGTTGTCTGGGCCAAACCGGTGGGTAACAAGGGGTCCCTTGGACCCGAAAGCAGCCTCGAGACCTCGCAACCCCCCGAACATGCGTCGCTATAATTTGCCCAGAGGTGAGAAATCCGCTTCGCACCACGAAACCACCAATCCCAACTCCCACCTTATAGGTTTGTCTCAAGATAGGGGAACCCACACAGTGGCTGGTGTTCTTTTGGTTTCCCTTCAATCACCACTCACTCCGAAAGGGGTAACGTGACTTGCAAATATGGCAGTGGGTCCAAATCTGTACCCCTGGTGAACATCAAAATAGGTGGCAAAGGATGTTCATCCACCCCAAAATGGAGCCAATATGCTTGTTTGCCGGCCTCCCGCCGCGCCTCGGTAGGTCGCAGTGGCCCACTGCTCCTCGGAGGTCTCGACCGGAAAAGGAGGCAACCCAGGCAACCCCCTGTGGCCTTTCAATATGGGTGTGTCCTTTTTTGAGGGTACCGTCTTTTTCGTGGTTTCGAATGGAAGCCAAACTTAGTTGCCCAAAGGACCTGGAACTAAAAGGTTAACCTTTTGGGGCCATGACTAAATGTGGACCAAAATGGGAAAACCAAAAGGTCAAAAGGTCGGCTTTGAACAACTGAGCAAAAGGAAAACCATCCATTTTTTTAAAAATAAATGGGGGTACCCATAAGCAAGACACACCCACACCTAGCACGAAGGCCAATGGACAATGGGTGTGTGCAACATAATTTGGGTTTATATAGGACCCAAGCATGACCAGCTGTCTGCTTGGTTTCCCATGAAATACCAACCAAAGGTGGGTCCACCATTTTGAGAACCCAACCCGGACTAAAGGAACCCTCTTGAGCCGTTGAAGAAGAACAAATCTCCACTGAAAACAATAAACAAGACGAGAGACACCCCGTTCTCCCCTTGTTGCAGTTGCTTTCGAGTGACTTTCCCAATAAGAGCAACCCCCTAAGATTGTCGTTGTTGTTTATACTTTCCCAAGGTTTCTGGTACCGGTTGTTATCCAACCCCCTAAGAGTGCTTTCCCCTTGTCTGCGCCTCCTACTCTCCCGCTCTTTTCCACCCGCTCAGACCACCACTTCCGCCGGCACCTTCGGCACCGGCCGGCGGATCGTGAAGGCGTCCCTCACCGAGGCGTTCACCGAATCCAGCAGCTCGAAGCGCATGGTGGTGGAGTTCTCGAAATGGAGTCGCGTGTAGCCCAAGGACGCCTCCCAGTTTCCGTCCAAACGGGAAGGCCAAAAAGCAGAGGCAGCCAACCTTTCCGGTGATCATGTTTCAAATGAATTCGCAAAATTGGGGGCCAATTCCTCCTGGTGTCCTTTGGTTTCGCGTTCAAACCATTGATCAGGTTCCCCCCTTTCCAATGGGATGCCCTCAGAATGCATTCCCACCTTAACTTGGACCCAAATGCACCTCACCCCTGAGTTCCTGGACTTCTTGAAGGGACCCATCAACCCAACAAGACCAAATGAATCTTGGGGTTGAAAGGAAATCAGGGATTCGATCGGGGTGCTTCCCTCATTCCCTATCGAACCAGCTTTCGAAACCCCGCGGGTCGAGTCCAACGGGCGAGTTGACTAGTTGAAGTTACAGAAAAGGCGCAGTAGGTTCCAGCCATAATTCCCTCGGGGCGACCCCGCTTGTGCAAAAATCCCAGGGTAACATGAACCCCAACAACCAAGCCCGATCTGGGGTTAGCATGGGACCCAGTCAACCCCAGCCATAGTTCAGGAACACCACCTAGAAACCCGACCGAAAAAAGAAAAAAAACAACTCTGTTGCGGGCCGGGAAAAATGGCCCAAAAATGGAAAATCACAAGGTCATTTCAGGGCGAGTCGCTTTGAGAAAAACTTGCTGGTGCATGTGGGACTGCACCTGGGGGTCCCCTTAAGGCAAACCACCAGTTGTTTGTTTTTTCTTGGGGTCATTACCCATGCAACTCACTCCCTGCCTCTCGCAGCGGAAAAACCCGGGGAAAACCCCGAGAGGCTCGCGAATCGAAACGGGCTCGCGCCTGGCGCACCACGGACCAGTCGGGGCAACTCTGCCAGGTGTCTGTGAGGCCCTCCACGTCCCCCGCGTTGCCGATCACCACGTGGACGGTGGCCCCAACGTCCGTGTAGCTCCTCCGATTTTTCGTCCCGGGGATCCCGGCGGGTCAAAATCTGACAAATGGCTTCCCGGAACTTACGAGAAATAAAGCAGATTCAACGTTTTTTAACCAGAACTGCGCGATCCAAAAAGCAACGACAAAGAAACAGAATCATGTGCTTTTTTTGCCTAAACTAGGGCCGGATTTTCACCAGCGTGAAACAGCTTCGCGTCAAAAAAACCCATCCAAATTTGCGGCGCCGCTAAGTCGAAGCCCAGCCCTTGGCTTAGGCTCCTGGCCACCGTAACGTTATGTGCCACCGGCCAGGTGCGCTCGTAATTGTGCAGATGGCCACCCAGGAAGAGGTCCACCTGAAGCAAGACTCCCGCTGCACATGGAACTGCGGTTTTGAGGGGTGGGGATGCTATCAAGGAAAACCAACACGAAAACCAGCATTTGGGGGGTGCCCCTATGTTGACACGGACCAACGTGCTTTTTCCGGGGGTCACTTCTCCCATTCGCTAGCCTTTGTATCACTTTTCCCACCCAGGTGCACCCATGTTCTAGGGGGTACACCAATACCTTCGCTATCCTTTATCTCACTTGGGTATATAGTAGGACTATTTACCTCAATTTCCCCTGATTGCAAAGACCCGAAAATATGGGGGTCCGGTGCTCCAAAATCGCCTGGTGCTTCATGAACAAGGGCTCCAGCTCCCGTCGCAAGACGGCACTGTGGATGTGGCAGTCGTAGTAGTCGTTGGTGGAGCAGTAGAGGGGTTTGTGCGCGAAGACGACCACCCAAGGCACCTCGCAGCGACTTTTGGTTGGCAGTTGGGACGGTTCTGAAACCAGGTAGATACTGGTTAACAAACCACCTACTTGGGATGGACGAAATCCTGCACTCCCTAAGACACCCTGAGCTGATGACTCCCCTGTAAATACCAACGAACAATGGCTTCAACCATGGCTTCAAACTGGCCACAGTATCAACTGGTGCCCATCGGAATGGATTTCGTCCATCCACAAATCCACAGTATCCGGCAAGGGGGACAGCTGCGCATGTCCTAAGCTTCCCTGCCGGAGGCACCTGAGGAAGGTGTCCAGGGCTCCCATTCCAGCCCACTTAGGGTAAGAAAGGAATTGAGGGGATTTTGTTCAAGGGTTTGATCGTGACTCAAACGGACTATCGGCTGCCCTTTGTTGTTGATTGATCCACGGTTTTGGGTAGAAGCAAAGGCGTTCCAGGTACTAGTTGGATGCTTGTGTGCATGGTTTCGGTGGGAAGGTGTATCTCTGTGCGTGTGTTGATTTTGGAGTTGGTGCCACCTTGGCTTAAAGGAAAACATGTCTTTTTTGGGCGGAGGGAGATGTTTAATCCCTGTTTAATCCCATACCCACCCCAGCTTGACATGTAAGTTGGTTGCAAGATTGATTTCAGAGGTGGGGAGGAGGGAGAGGAGATGCTCCAAAGTAGAATACGAGCTCTATGTTGGGAGATTGTCGAAATGGTCAACATGGGACTAGCAAGTAAATTCCGTGCAAGATATGATTGCAAGTGGGGTCATTCTCAATTCCTTCTCAGCAACAGCAAAAGGGGCAGGGAAGGTCAACAAACACAAACAACAAAGCAGATCTTCTGTTAGAGCCTCTGTACTTCTTTGGCTTCATATCATGGCGATCGAGGGGAACTGTCAAACAAACGTGGCTTCGTTTTTTGCGAGGTGGTCAACATTGCTTTTTCCAATGTTGCAGCCGCTATGGGTATGTACACATCTACGATTTGCAATCGAAACCACAGAAAGTTCCTGGGTCCGAACTTGAAAGGCTTCGTGAAGTCCAAAGCAGTCCAAATGCGACGGGGGGACCCTTGAGACATTTGGAGAATGACGGGTGTTCTCTTTTAGCTTCCCCCACCTAGGCCTCTGAAACCTCAAGAACCTGGAAAACCGCTTCTCGGGGTAGCAAGCGTCCGTTCCTAGAATTTGAAAACCTAGGCCCCTACCCCCAAGAAGGGTTCTTGGAACCTTCCTACAAGAAGCTCTACGGGCTCCATAAACCACTCTGGGGGTACTTAGGTGTTCAAGCTAGTTGGTCCCAGTCACCCCACTTGCCATGGTGAGACGCGTGATTGGTTGGTTTGGAGGTTAAGGGGATTGGTTTCCCATCTCCCATCAACAAGAAGCAGCAGTGCAAATCCCCCGCACCTACACCTGTCCAGGGACAGCTTCCGTCTGATTCGTGGTGAGGTGTTCCTGGGGTGGGTTTCCCATCTGAGTCGCAATCAAAACCCGGTACTAAAATGGTCTACCCAGAACCATGTAAAGGATTAAGAAGGCAGCCGCAGCTATTTATGGTTGGGATCGTCCCTTACTAGCCGTCATTCACCCGGGTTTTGATTGTGGCTCATCTACCAAGGGGCTTCAAATCCCCAAACCAATCCAAACCCCCGAAAAGATGGGCTACCTGATCGGGAGGAGTGCCAAGCCTTCTCCCGGTTGGCCGAGGCCGCTCGCAGGTCAGCCTCCAGAAATGGCAGCTGCAGGCTGAGGTGATGCTCCGTGGAGAAGGCCACGAAGTGCACGCCCCCGTAGTCGAAGGAGTACCACAAGTTCCCACTCAACCGGGCAGCTTCCCCCGGCATAGTGAAGCGAACCTACCGCGCGACCAGGAAAATCACGTCGCAACGGGCTTCGCTTGGATCTCTATACAGACCACATACACATGTCGCGTCTATTCATATCTACTTCGTTCCATCCATCCATCAATCCGTCCGTACATCCGTCTCTCCGTCCGTCCGTCCGTCCATCCGTCCGTCCATCCCTCCATCCATAAATCAATCCATAAATCCATCCATCCATCCATCCATCCATCCATCCATCCATCCATCCATCCATCCATCCATCCGTCTATCCAGTTGCCTCTTCATTTTCTCAGTGTGTACTTGCTTGCTTGCTTGTTCGCTTGTGTGTGTGTGTGTTTGTTTGTTTGTTTGTTTGGTTCGTTCGTGCGTCCGTCCGTCTGTATGTCTGTCTGTCTATCTGCCTGCCTGCCTGGCTGGCTGTCTGTCTGTCTGTCTGTCCGCCTGTGTGTTTCTCTGTGTGTTTGCTTTTTTGTTCGGTTGTTCGTGTGTTTGTTTGTGTGCTTGCTTGCTTGCTTGTTTGTTGTTTGGTTGGTTGTTCGTTCGTTCGTTTGTTTGGTCGTTTGGTTGTTGATTTGTTTATTTGTTTGGTTGTTTGTTTGTTGTTTGTTCGTTTGTTTGTTTGTTTGTTTGCTTGCTTGTTTGTTTGTGTTTGTGTGTTTGTTTGTTTGTTTGTTTGCTTGGTTGTTGGTTTGTTTGTTTGCTTGCTTGCTTGCTTGCTTGCTTGCTTGCTTGCTTGCTTGCTTGCTTGCTTGTTTGATTGTTTGTTTGTTTGCTTGATTGCTTACTTGCTTGCTTGCTTGTTTGTTTGTGTGTTTGTTTTTGTTTGTTTGCTTGTTTGTTTGTTTGCTTGATATTTGATTTAGTAATGTATCTATACGTTGATTCATTGAATTGCTCATGTATCAAGTTCTTCATTGTCTAGCTTATCATGCATATTTAAGATGTATGTGTTTGTTTGTTTAATTGTTTGTTTGATTGTTTGTTTGTTTGCTTCTTTGTGTTTTCCTTGTTTGTTGGTTTGTTAGATTATGTCCCTCTGATTGTTCTTTCTCTTGAGTTATGTGGTTATCTAGTTGCTGAATTGAATTGATTTGTGTATTGATCTATGGAATTGCTTAAATTTGTTGTGTTACTTATCGACTTGTTTTGTTCTTCACTCATTTATGTATTTATGTGCTCATTGTTCTATTGATGTATTGATTTATGTAGTATCTTATATATCTAGTCATTCATATGTATTTACTTATGTATTCATTTAATTGTAAATGTGTATGCATTTGTTCATTCATATGTTTCATGTTTATCTATGTAACTATATCCGTAGGGGTTGTGCACATTTATCTAGCGGCCAAAGGAAAAGAAAGAAACTGGCGATTTGTATGTCATATATGTGCTTGAGAAACAAGGCTGAGATACAAAGCAAGAGCAATTGGCTTGCATATTAGTGTGAACCCCCCCCCCCTTCCCGTATAAATCGGCAACTCAGGGATCTCCATTTTTTCCGCAAACGTCACTCACTAAAAGAGCCTGGAAGACGGAACACCAAAGCATAGCGACACCTAGATGAGGAAACTCAAGGAATCCTGCAACGAGGTTGTAGCATGGATCTGATTTGGTCGCCGTGATCTGAGGGACATTCCTAGGTCCATGTGAAGAGGATAAATGCACCTATGAACAGCATCAACTGTGGCGTAGCAACTGGAAGCCAGCTACCAAAAGGTTCAAACCGTCACGCGATTGTAAATGTATGTGTTGTTACATATGTAAATATGTCCACGGACCCCGAAGGGGTCCTGTGAAGGCCTATCCTTAGCTTGTCCTGAGCACATCCAGGGAGAAAAGGAAAATCAGGCCTTGTTAAGGGACTATCCTTATCTAAATCCACAGAAGACAAACAAGGAAAGACATCATGGCTCCGTTCTCTAGATTTGAGAAGGCAACCCCGGCAGTTCTTG